TACATACTTAGCATTCCATTTGTATAAATGCGGAAAGCATCCCTCCAATACATATTTAGCAATGTCTGGCTTTCAACCAAATGGTTACACAATGAACTTATTTTATGTATACAGTACAAAACTTCTTACATCCTGGATAAACGTGTAATGTGATCCACCAATAACTTTCCCATAACTAAGAGTTTTTTATCCAGAGTTGCTTTCACCGACATCAATATCCATGGAAAATTTAGTTAATGTCTTCAAAATTGGGACTTTTCTCTACAGAAGCAAATAATATGCAGTTACCACATAAACCAACATTACTTACGGCTTTCAGATTAAAACCAGTGAATGAAAAATCATTTTAGGTACCTGTGTGCAACTATTAATACTGCTATTTTTAATTTTCCCCGCAATTACCTACTTACCAGCTATCACACGTAACAACAAACAACTAAATGTGACAAACTATTACACATTCAATCCCCTATCGCACTACTCTCATCAAAATTGTTAGACACGAACGCTAATCCGATTGGCTGATTTATATGACGAAATCAGAATATAGAATATCCTTTCCCTCATTAAATACCCCTCTGAACAAAAAAAAAAATTCTGCCATCTGCATGCAAACTTGAAATTAACTCCTACACAGGAAGCCGACTCCGTCTCCTCAGCAGATTAAGTTTTCTTCCTTGCACCTTTGCTTTTCAAACTGTGGTCTGCGACCTCTCCAAGAGCTGTGCATACATAAATTTGAAAACAAAAAGCACTCATTAAATTACTGATCAAAAAATTAAACAAACTCGTATAAAAATTTAATGGGGAAAACCAATACAGAAGTTCCCTATATATCATGCTGCAACAGAATGTTCAGATGCAAATTGAATTAAAGCAAGTAAAATAATTTTGTCTTATTAGTATTCAGTAAACAAATATATATGCATATAATAAATAAATACTTTTTGTTATAAATTCCTAACTAAAATTTTTGTTATTGTGTTTGGAAGCCTTCATATTTTGTAATGTTTGGGAAGCTGCAGGATCAAAAGTTTGAGAGGCAATACTCTACAAATCACATTCAGTATCAGAAAATCAAAAAGCAATATACAATTTATTTAATTCCTTAAAAGAAAATAAGAAAATCTTAACCTCACAATTTTAACAATGTTTATCACCTGCAATACAACAGTAGCAGAATGGTAGTTAACAGCGAATGGGAATTGTACTTCATAGTGTTAAATTTATGCACGATTTTTATTATTTTTGGGAGAGGGGGGATATAATCACCATATGCTAATGTTGATCTTCCAGATTGTGATGCCATGTGGACTTGCAAGCGAGAAACAATGTTTCAGAGGCAGCGCATTCCATTGAAATTTTAATACCTACATACAAGCCCTCATGGTGTTACAACCCACAAGACCAACCTCAAATCTCATAAATAAAAATGTTATATGCTTAGTGTATTTCTAATATCTGAAAAGACTGTTGTTATCATCAGTTCTTGAGACTGATGACCAAGTCACTTCACACATAAATAACAGCATTACAGCTACTCAGATTACAAACTATACTTCCAAGAACACATTTTTGAAACTCATTTCCTTATAAGACCTAGTCATAAATGGGAAGATAATGGATCTTAGGGTAACAGGGTTAGATAATGTGGATTAGATTGATCAGAATCATGAATCTATGAGTGGTCACCATTAAATATATATATTGCATAGGGGAAAAAGTCTAAAAATAAGTGATACAATGTTCAAAAGTTAATTTAAATAACTTAAAATAATAATTTAAAACATACACAATTTTAAAAATCATAATACATATATGTTATACACATTGTGACTCTGAACATGTTCACATGTCTCAGTTTTGAGGTAATTGGGTTTCTCTAGACAGTGAGCTGTCTACTGGAACAAACAAATCACTTTACTTATCCTTAAAGTAGAGGTTTGCACACCTTGCGTAACTGTGCACATCTTATCTAAACATGTATTTTTATTCTGCACATTCGTTTAATTTCACTTTGAGATAAAAAATGCAAATAATAATAATAACACCACCAACAACAAAAGCAACAACTAAAACTATTGTTATTTTTATATTGCTACTATAGATATTATTATTGTTGCTCTTGATGTTATCTAACTGCTCCTGTTCTTATTTAACATCATATTCCAGTCTTTTAAAAAGTGCAAAATCACATGCACTGATTAAAAATAGACAGTCACTAATGCCAAGAAATTGTGAGTTCTATTAACAGCTTTATCTTAACCGAGCAAAGTATCAATATGAGAGATGGTTTATGTAGTTGTTTGCCCTTCTCCCTTCCAGGAAAACGTGTTCGACAACTTCATAGCCGAAGAGTTTCATGAAAATATTTATAAATGCTGCAGAAATGTAATAGTGCTGATGTGATGTCCACATATTACTTTCATTAACTGTTCATACATGATAATAATGTTCCCAATCCAGGAAAAGTTATGCTAGTCAGCCTCACAACAGAGATATCTGTACAGCCTGATACACTATAAAGATATAACTGAAACACAAATAATTTGTCACAACTTGGTAAGCTGAGGAACAGATATCATGCACAGAAGGACTTATGCGTACGTGCTGACATGCTGATGAAGCAGCACATGCAAATAATAATAGGACAACTTCTTCGAAAGACTATAAGACCTTGCTCTAATTTTAAATTTCTAAGTGGTCATATGTGTAACTACCTCACAGCAAAAATACTGCAGCAGAAATGACAATGAGTGTCATTACATGCACCAAAAGTGAAGATGATCCAGACTTATGATGCAGCCTTGAGTCACTTGAAAAGAAGCTATCTGCCACTGTCAGCTCATTGTACTTGCCCAGTAGTTCCAGTATCACTCCATTTGTCCAGCCAAACCCAATCTGGTTCTCATATTCCCCACCACTGCCATGTCCACCAGGAAATGTTGCGTCGTACTATAATGTGATAAAATTCCCTCAGGTGATTGCCACATCAGCTGTACTTCCAAAATACTGATATACATTCAGAAGTGACAGTTTGATATGCTAATTAAGTTAAAATTTACGTAAACATTATCAATACACTTTATCCACAAATTCAGAGCCTTATTTGAACCTAACACAAACTGGAAAAGCAAATCATAAATATGTAAACCCAATTAGGCACCTTATGCATATACATTTTAAATAATGTTACAAGTATCTTGGATATTTTGAATCGTTAAAACATTTTACACTTCTTCTCTCCTAATTGAATCAAAAGCTTTCTTAAACCTACAAATAACTTATCTACTTACCCATTACACTTCCATTTTTCTCTGATATCTGTCAAATGCAAAATACTTTATCAACAGCTAATATATTACAGTATTTTACAACTTGGCCTGCATATGAAATGTTTTAACATATCATTCACATTTCACATAAAATTAACAGTCTGATGTCCATTTACTGAATAATGTAATAACAGCATAAAGTATTTAACAACTACTGTGAAGAAATAAAATAAAAATACTGCATTATATATCTGATAAGTCTGCTTGCTTTGTTACAAAATTATCCAAGAAAAGAACACACAGAAGAAAATACATACCTTTTCATACATAACATGTGATTCATTGAAGGCCTTAAAGTTGGAGCGAACCCACCGCCTTGCAACTTCTACGGCAAGATTCTGTGCCCAGATGTCTTCAGTAGCTTCCAGAGCCATGATCACAATATACTGGAGTGGTGGCCAAGCATTGGGATAGTCCCACTGCTCACCAGAGTGCTCTAATGAAGTGGGAATTCCCCCCAAGAACATCATGATCTGTGACCGCTCTAGGTACTTCATAATTTTGCCAACCTGTAACTTCTTTCTCTTGAAGCAGCCAGTCCACAGAGGGGCCAGGTTTGTTGGGTAGAAGTAATTCCGCTTTATTCCATTGATTAGGTCATAATCCAACCATATCCCCATTTCATCATGCCAAAGAACATTGTCCACTGCCTCCAGCCACGAGTCTGCCAAGTGTCTGTATTCAACTGTCTTGTTGGGCATGTCTAGGGCATCAAAAAACTCTGACAGGAGAAGGGCATTCCAGTAGAGTATGGCATTCAGCTCTACAGGGACAATGTGCTGTGTCATGGTGTTACTCAGGTCCCCTGAAACATGTGAATACATAACACCATCAACTCTTTATATATGCTTACAAATGTAATGGCATCTTAATGTCAACATTAGAGCCATTAGAACATGCGCCACCACAGTTGTTCAATAGAATGCCTACATTATCATAGTGGGCTCTATTCTCCTGATGAAAGTCTTGAATTTTAAAATTAATTTTATTTGTAAATTTTCTTCAGATAATTAATTAATAAATAATATAACAATATAACTGCTAATTATAGTGTGAGAGTGTAAAATTTAGCATAAATTGTTTGCAGAGGTGTGTAAGATTTAACTGTCAGTTCTGATGTTGATTTCTATCTTAATTTATTTAATTATAATCACAAGGCTTTCTTTGCATAAAGACTGTGAGATTAACATATGTTTTATCACTGTAAGTACACAATACATATTGATAAAAATTAGTATTCTGACAAATTTAATTTTTGTTCATATTGTACCAACATAACCTATACTTCACATAAAGCTGAAATAGGATATTACTGATTTTACATTTGTATAATACATGGATATTATAACAAATACAACCCAGAAGACAGCCATCATCAAACATAACAGTTCATGAAACAATTCATACATAGTATCATCTATAAAAACATCTTGTTTCTTGCAGACAAATCTCATGCCTCCTCAATTTACAGAGGAAAATAGCACTCATCAATATTTATAAAACACAGGATTCATGATGTTTTGCCTTTGAACAAAAACCATAATCCTTTATAAGTAATGTTCATTCATCATCCTGTCACCTTAATAAATTACAGGGAGCATTACTAGACATTTCTAAATCTGTCCATCAATCTCTACCTCAGAAAGATGTCTATGTCAGAGAGATGGAAAATGTCCTTACCCAGTATTTCAAAGCTGAACAGTCAATCTTGTCTGTCACCTGCAGTGTTTAAAATTCTGCTGGAAGTAAAAAATGTGATTTGAAAATTGTTGAACACATGCTTACCTCTGTCTGTAGAATTTGTGATGTACCAACGTGTGGAGAAGTCCCAGCCTGACTCTGCAGCTGTCTTCAGCTGTGTGTAGCGATCTTGTCTTTCAGCTTCCGTTATGAGCACCCGAGTATTTTCATAATCCTCCCTGTAGATACATATGTAAATCTAATTTTTCAAAGTTTCATTGCATTGTTACCAACTGATAATATACAGTCAACATTCTAAAAGCCACATCTTCTTAAAATATTTAGAATTACTTTATGTCAAGAATATTTTCTCAACATTACCTAATCAAAAAGTAAACAAACTGACATGTTTGCTTATTTTAAATATGTCAAACAAATTCATGTGATGTGGAGTTCTACAAATGCATGACCCTTAAGCTTAAACATTATGGAAATAGATTATCACAATATTTGCCATTTTATTTTAGACTCATCTGGCATTTTATTAAAATTGTACAACTAAAGGGCTTTTATTTCTAATAGTACTCACATGAAGCCAAATTCTCCATTTGGACAATTTCAGAATTTAAAACCAGCTACATAACTGCATGAAAGTTTTCTACCGAGACTAAATATTCTAATGTAGTCCTATTGGTCTTAGACCTCTCTGGGAAAACTGCATGATAACAGTTTAATATATGTTTCCTTCCAAATCCTTGTCAGTTCACCACTCTTAATCATCAAAAGAATGCCTCTTGTGCTTCTAGGTTTTTAGGAATAAACTAAAGAGATTTTGATGCAGGAAATAAAAGTGAGTCCCTCTTTTTGAATCCAATGTTTACAGTATGATTGCTTTATGATAACTCATATTATCATATCTTAAAGAGAGAGAAAAACTTTTGTGAAATCTTATACTTCTTTGTGAGGGAAAAGTATGTATTTTTAGCTCATGGGCTCAAACCCATAAATATTTAATACAATCTAAAAATTGTCTTCAATCTACACATCATAATTTGCTTCTCAGAAACTGTCCCTATAGGATATAGATTTTGTACCTAGTTAAAACAGAACAGTCATTTTCCATCTTCAGTGGGAACAGCAAGCAGGCAGCACCCTCATATTCCAGGAGAGTTACTCTGTTCAATCAGCCCTTACTAAGCTCTTGTACCTACCTGTATGACTCTGGCCGAGGTCCAGATGATGGAGCAGAGTAACGAGCCAGGCTGTAACTTTTTCCATCCTTAGCAACTGTCACTGAATGATTTTTCATCCAGTACTGAAATTCCTCTTCCATGCTGCCAATGTTTTTGCTCAGAAATCCAATGTCTTTTGTTGCATCCAGATAGCTCTTCACCATTGGTATCAGCAGAGGTGGTTGGGATCGTCTCAAGTAATAGATACGCCCGCCATTTGGAATGAAGCCATACTTCTTGACCATGCCAAGGAAATTTTCTAGCATGCCCCTAACGGTACCGTACATTTCAGAGAGCAGCAGACCCCGAACTATCCAATACGAGTCCCAGTAGTAGAGCTCCCGAAAACGTCCCCCTGGTACGATCACAGGGTGCTGGACATAGATGATGGAGTACAGTTCTTCATTATCACGCACTTCGTCTTTCATCTTTCTACCGAGTTTTTTCCAAAAGTGATGGAGATGTCTTGCCCACTCCTGCAAATCAGGATCTTTGATCTTATCTAAAAACTTGGGATGATTAGTCCAATCTACAGGGTCCCAGTCTTCAAATTCACTGCCTGGTGGATCAAAAGTTTCATTCACAAATTTCCAAATGTCTGTTCTGTTTGGGTTATTATCAGTTCTGCTCATCAGTTCTCTAAAACTCTGCCATGTCTCATTCTTAGAATACTTCATTTTCATGTCCACAAATGTTTTAGAGTCAGGGAATATATTTGACATCTGTACAACATGTAGCAGGTCTCCATAGCAGTAGATATCACTAAAACAAAAACACAAAATAAATACAGCAAAACCTGCTTACAACACAGGTCCAGGGGACGAACTTTTTTTTTGTACAGGTTTCCATTTGGCGCTGGTACCTGTACTTACTTGTATACAATACATACTCCATGTGCTGAGTTATGATGGTGAAATCACACACAAGGAATTCAAGCTATTTGCTGACAGTATACTTACTGAGCCTTATTCACTTTCCTTTCCTCTGAAAATGTGTCATGTACTCGTGGGAGTAAACGGCATCATAACCCTAAAGAACAACACCGCTATTTCTGGCTCTATTAAGTGCGGAGCCTGTGGTGCTATTAGCTTTGCTACCGCAGATTGGTAAGTGTAATAAAATAAAAACCAAGGCCAAGGCCACTAAGATATGTAACACTTTTGAAAACTGTGTGCACTCTGAACTGGAGTACTCCTTCCTGCTCATGTGAAGTTTAGATGTGATATGTTTAGTGTGCTGACATTCGTGAACAACCAGCGCAGTTAAGTCGGCTTTCAGCCCGACAACCAACCAGCGTTCCACTAACCTGTCACACGGTGGAGGCAGACAACTCACACACACCAGAGCCAGCAGCAGACCGCACACCAGACACACCGCGCTCATACTGCACGCACAACTCCAGCACCCCAACGATCCGCCACTGAAAAATAAATCACGTAGTAAAAACGCGTGTTTTCGCTATGCGGTCCGCCTAGATACTGGCAGTTCATTGCAAGGACCGTGACGGGAAGCCAGAAACACTGAAACACAAGCAAGTTTACCCCATCGTCACCTTCAGCCGCACAATAAGCAGAATAACTGAAGGCGCTGGCTTCAGCTTCAGCGACCGTCTTGTATCTGCTGTGCGATTCGCGGGAGAACAAGGTATGGGGAAGGCCACTGAAGAGCTGGGGTTCTGATGACGGCGTGACCAAACCCCCTGTCAAGCGCCAGAGCAAAACATGTAATTTCCCCCATTGTTGCACGGAAATGACTGAGCATTGTTTCAGCAACTTATACTCTGGTTAAAAACTGAGGGTAATTTCTTAATTCAATAAAATTAAATGGATAAAAATTTACGAGTACGGCTAACATATCAGCAAGATGTAAAATTCACGGCGGAATTTTTACGGAAACGGAACCTGGCAGGAATTTTTGGAGTCTTTCAGCGGATGACGAACTGTAGTTAGCAAATTGTTTTTAACATTAATCTATTTTCCTTCCTCACATTTTCTTCAATTATTTGAAACCGGGGTCAGTATTTTCTGCCAATCTTTAGGCATCTGAACCGTGGAAACAGGAGTTTCATATAATTCGTTTCTTACCCGATCATCCTATCTGAAAGGAAATTTCATTCTAGTACACGACATAACAGCGATTTTTGACAGGGAAATTGATTCGGTAGGGAAATGCGAGCTATATTTTTCCTTCTACCATCGTTTTCCTACAAAACTTCGTTCACTGTTCGAGGCGCAACTTCGAATGCCAACGAGAAACGTGTCCGATAATATTAGGCATTATGAATTCTTATTAAAATTTCGCTATCGGCTGCACTTTAGTCCATAATTATGCATTGTGAATTATCACCTTACACAAAGGCCAGAATCTGCACAGAAATGTCGAGATCGACAAATATTTCAGACAAAATTTGTAGCAGTTACGCTAAGAAATTTTCTTCGTATGGTGTATTATCATTGCAGGAGATGATGGCAGTCAAATAACAAACGAAATCATGCAGCCTATATCTGTCATGGACTTGAAACCATCATGCAGAGACTAGCTCACCTGATGTGCTATTTCATTCAAGGCTGGAGATAAAAAGCCACGTTTCTTCACGAACACATAAAATACCCGTGACGTGCCTCACCTCATAAGCTTTTATCCACAGTGGCAGTCGCCTTGGAGGACTGAAAAATATGAACATTAAAGACCCCTCAGGGCAACTGATGTCATCGGTCGGGACTTGAACTAAGTACTGTTGAAATACAAGTCACATACCTTACAACTGAGTCCCGTAGGGTCACAGGAAACCCATGTAACGCCTTAATAAGACTGGGCACCTCAACTAAGAATCGAATTGGGAACTCCTGGAATAAAAGTCGATCCGATTACAAAGTCGGCGAAAAAGCTTTGGCCTACTACAGTTGCCCTCACAAGAAAACGTTGAACACATCAAAACATTGTCGGAAAACCTTTTTAACTCCCATTAAACTAAATTCCTAATAGCCTCCGTGGTTAATTTAAGGCTTTGACCGGGATGTTCTTTTGTTAAATCTTATGTGGTACCGCCTGATTCGACTTCTAATGGTTAAGTGAAGTGTTTTCTTCGCGGTACGGTCTGGATTCGTAAATATTATGAAGACGAGCTTCGGCTTCAAAGGGTTAACCAGCTGATTTTCGTAATGGTGAGGTGTAGTGTTTTCTTCGCGGTACGGACTGAATTCATCAAGACCGTCAGTAGTTCGGACTACATAACGTCGAGCGGCAGGATGATTCGAAATATGGAAGAAAGTGGTCGTGGCCTAATCTAAAGAGCATCCCCGCAGGGCTGCAGTCGTGCAGGGGATGTACAGGGCAGAGCCCCAGTGTATTTTAAGTGCCAGGACGTGGTCCTGGCACCCCTTCGAAGACGGCGATGTCAAATGTAGGCCACACGGCCCAAGGGCAAGGGGGTTGGGGTGGCTCCTTCCTACAATACTGAGCATGCCCCTCCAGAAAGTTTCACTGGAAATGCAAGAACTTGTAGTGTGTTTAATTTCCGATCGCTCTGTTTGACGAGAAAGCGCAACCTCTTTAAGTACATGCACCTCGTGAGCTGTTTACGACGGCAGAGCTATCACACAGCAAGATGTAACAAACAGACAGAAATGTGCCTGAGTTATGACGTATGATCGCATAATAAAATCTACCTCGACAGGAACTTCTGACGTCGTTAAGTGGCTTATCCTGGCGCTGGCAGGACCACGTGCTCTGAGGCGAGAGTGATTTATTCCCTCACAACTGTCACTCTTCAAGTGTTCAATGTTTTTCATTCCAAGAATCACGAATTCATCAACTTCGTGCTATTTCATTTCTTATTACTCCGTGTGCAATGTCAGCCCACTGCGACATTAACTTTCCTGCAGCACAACTTCTAACGGCACACATGATCCAGGGACAGAACAATCCACCTTCCACGCTTACAATCTATTTCCTTAATATCCGTCTCCTTTTCAGCCTTTAAAGTTTTCTAATTGGTTTCCCCATTATATTCTGTGCGCATTTATAGCCTCCCACATTCGAGCTACATACCCAGCCCATCGGAACGTCTTTGACATCACTATCCTAACACATCGTGAGGTTCCCTGTTACGTAATGTACAACACTGTCTCGCTCACTTGTTTCAGAATAAATGTATTTATGACAATGTTTAATATTCTCTGTCATCTGTGTGACTGAGGCCACCCACTACCGTAACAACATTACGCTTATAAATGTCATATGTTTAAAGTAGATTAAATGTTTGTCCTGATCCATTAATTGGCTGATCAATGTGGACCTCAGATAATGAATCATTGTGACAAATCTTTAGAAACACATAAAGCAGGTCATTTGAACAAGGAAAGGCCACAGGGCTTACACCAATACAGTGTCTGGTGAATAAGCAGAGAACATGCTGACACAATGGCCTGCTGGAGTAATTCAGCAACGTGTCTTATCAAAGTGCCTATAGATTCAAATGCAAAAACGTTAATTGTACCTGTTGTTTTGTATGGGCACGAGGCTTGATCTCTCAACCTTCAGGACATATATCGAGAGCATTTGAGAAGAGGTGGCTACGGAAAATAGTTATACCTCTATATATAAAAAGGAAGTAGCAAGATCACCGGCTTCCAGACAGCAGCCAATCATTCAAGAATATTAAAAAATTTAGTTCGTACCTCAAAGAAACACAGCAACTACCATTACTGGGATGGGCTAGTCAACGTGTGCCTTAAAAGTCGTCATCTATTCTAACAACCTAATAAAACTCACACAATATGTTGCACAAATGCCAAGAATGTTAACATAAAATATGCTGGTACATATAGTTACCACATTCCTTTAAAGAGACAGATAGACAAGGCAGATTCTTTAACAGCGCACAGTCAGCTCATGCAATGCGACACATTTAAGTGACATATTCTTATTGTTTTACTGTATTCAAGTCTCATCTGCAAAAGATTGAGAAAATTCAAAGTCAAGGACACACTACCATTACAACAGGCATTTCACAATAAAAACTAAATTTTAATATTTCATCTGAAATGTTTATCAGTATAATAAATAGAAAGTTCAAAATTCAGTGTAATAATTATAAGAAACGAATATTATACGCATTTCTATATGCAGGCTACACTTTATACATCTGAAGTTATGATTATTTTACTGGTACTACTGATTTCAACTGAGCCAGCGTAGCTCAGTTGTTATAGTGACTGGCTACGGACTGGGCGACCGGGGTTCGATCTCCGACGGGGACAGAGGATTTTTCCTCTAGCCTCTGCATCCAGACCGCCTCTGGGGCCCACCCCGCCTCCAATCGGTACCGGGGTCCTTTTCCGGGAGGCGTGATGCTGACCACTTACCCCCATCTAGTGCGGACGTCAAGTATGAGTAGGAGCTATACCTCCACTCCCCCCAAGCGCCTACATGGCATATAGTGGGACAGCTTTACTTTTTTTTACTGACATCAACCAATGCAGACCAGGTGAAGACTTACCAATTATGCTTTCGTATTATATACTTCAAGAAATGACACAACATATCTAGTTACACTCATATCGGACAGAAAAACAAAAGAAAGAACTTATATAACAGAATTACGTAAACAGTTGATGTTATATAAATTAATTTCACATGATGAGAAGTGTTAAAAAGTAATCTTTTAAAATGTGGCTATTGTTAGACACGTTGCTTTTTTATACCAAACTGAATACATAACATAGAAAATCCATGTGTAGATGGGACGATAATATTAAAATAGATCTTAAAGAAATGTTGCCTGAGGATATGGTTGGATTCATATGGCTCAGGACAGAGACTAATGGTGAGATCCTGCAAACACAATAATGAACCTTCGGGTTTCATAAGAGGCTGAATGACTATCAATGTTCAAGACCCTGCAGCATACAGTTATGGTTTACTTAAGCAGCAGCTCAGTTGGTAAAGTTGTTACAGGCTGGAAAACTGGATTTCAATCCCTGGCAGGGTAAAGAACTTTATTCAACACCACTGTGTCTAGACCAGTTCTCGGACCCACCCACCCATCCTCCTGCCCAACTGGGTACCAGCTCTTTCCATGCAGATAAAGCAACCAGAGCATGATGCTGACCAGACAACTCACATCAAGTAAGCTTGGAGGCATATATGCATGCCTTTTATGTCTTTGCTGTGTGCAGTTTAAGCTCAAACAACTTATCACGCAACAGCTTTTGTACAAATGTCACTTGAAACCAGTTTCAATAAATACTACTGATATCAAAATGAGACATGCTCAATGTTTAGGTTATTTAATGACATTTAAAATGCAGAGGTTACATAGCATCAAGGAACAGGGGAAGACAATCATAAGTGGTGAGTAGCTAAGGATTAAAAATGAGGTCGTCATAACCTGTTTCAGAATTTGTTTACAGAGAGGAGAAAACTAATGGAAGACCTTAATCACGCTATCCAGTAGTGCCACTGAGATTCAAACCTAGCACCTCCTCAACACAAGTCCAGAGCATTACTGAGTCAACAGCCTGTTTAGTGAATCAGATAGGAAACCAAGTGTAAAACACAAATTGCCTTTGTTTAATTTCTTTCTTTGTTGTTTATTTAACAATGCTGTCAGTATCACAGACTATATAATGTTGAGTGACAGGGTGAATAATAGGTAAAAAATTGGAAAGATGTGGAACAAAACAGTCATGACCTGAGTTTAAGTACAACCCCAGCATTTTCTGGAAGTACTGAGAAAAACCATGAAATCCTCAGCCAGGATAGCCAGTCTCTGGGCTGAAATTTGAAACTGGGACCTCCCAAATATGAAGCAAGGGTGACAATCACTTGGCTGCAACATGCAATAACTTAGTTTCCTTTGAATTTAATTACTTCATTACCAATGTTTCCAAAGCTAAATAGTCAATTTATTTAAAAAACAAGAAAGCCACTACTAACAAACACATAACTCCCAGAATGACACGGCAAATAAAATGAACTCAAGGACATCTACATTGTATTTGGCATCTGACATATGACACTCAGCAGACATGGGAACTAGAGATGACGGATGTGGCACTACACAACAAAGGAATACTTACAAGATGACATCCAATCAAATTTTTCATACAAAATGATCAAACTTATTGTTAGAAAATAATAACCATGCACTTCACAAGCAAATGGAGATGACAAAATTACATATTTACTTTCTGTAACAAAACACAGCTGTGAAAAGATTGACTGTACCCATGAACACGTTAACTTTGAAACAAAATTTGAAAGAATCCGTAACTAATTAACTTCACTGATAAATGTTGCTGGTTTCCATTTCCTTCAGATAGATGGGCAAGACAATGTCTAAATTAGTTTGTAACCCAGGGATGGTGAACAGCTGGCTCAAGTGATTAGATCAACAGAAACATAGATTTCATCCGGAACTGGAGACTGTCTATATTAACATGTGAAGACACTTGGTAAATTTTTTGTCAACTACATTTGCTATTATTTTGTCTTTCTACCCTGCACAACACCTCACGCCACTTATGCCATTGATTATGAAGCCATCCCAAAATGAAATAGGCCAGTGTTGTATGTGTCGCTCTGAATACAACTACATACAAGTCAAGAACTAAAGAGTTGTATAAAAATGTGCAGCAGGAGATAACTCATTAAGTCCAGCAGTGGTACTGCAGCATTGAGGGCAGCTGATACCACTGCTTATTGTTAAGTAACATGATATAAATGTGACCTCAGGTCACAAACGTTTTGCCAAGTTTGAGACTTAGGAATCCCCATTTCTCCTCAATTGTCATTTTGTTCTCACACAGCACTATACTAACTTCATTAGATATAATATTACTCTGTCTGTCTTTAGTTGGGTGTGGGACTGGGGGCAAATAAGGACTAAAGGAGTAAAGCTAGAGAGCTACATTCTCATTCCGGAGGAAAAACCGTTCCAGGACCACAAATCTCACTTTAAGTCATCAGGGAATGAACCTGAGTCTCCTTGGTGAGAAGCCAGTGTCTAGCCACCTGAGCTATGGCATGGACTACCCATGATTTACTGAGGTATAGAATTTGGGAGTCACTGCTACAGGTAGTTTGATGCCATGTAAACTCAGTAGTTGACACGGTCTCATACAACAACCAATACCCAGCTGACTCTTAACATCTTTTTAACTGTGAGCTTGCTACAGGCACACTCATGGCTATAAAGTTAGCACACAAATGTTAATCCCTCTATAACGCACTAATGCTTTCCTTCCCATTGTAACAGGGCAATAGAGCCAATTGTGTTACAAAGCAGATGTAATAAAAGTAACTGTACTTTGTACATTTCATTGCTTACAGAAAACATGTATTTATCTCCTTCTTTGTAACAAACTGTGCTCCACACTGGTTCACTGAGAAAGCATCTACTAAAAATACATGCATTCTCTACATCTCTACATATTTCCCTGATGTCAATTTACTGCAGATCTGCAAAGTTAAGTGCACTCTACAACACACTGCATAACCAGATTCAGTTTTTCTATTTTGCCTAACATTTTTCAAACAGAAGTTTCAAATCATAGAATGTACTACTTTCATGCATAACAGGCTGTTTTTGAGAACGATGTTAAGTTTCATTTCATCTTCATGTAATGCAGGGGCTATACTACACCGATATAAACCAAAATTAAATTTGTTAAACATCTTTTGCAGTAGAGATGAGTGGGGTAGACAACATAAATGAGATCAATACAAATTTTGGTCAGAAAACTTGGAAGACTAGTTGTTCAAAACAATTCATAGCTGACTGACTGCTCAATACTGTTTACATAGATTTGAGGTTTCTATGGCACTAATAATTTGGACTATTGTTTCTGGGGTTATCACGCTGTGTAATTTTGTGAGTGGTTACCAAACTTGAGCAACTTACTGCCTCCACCTTTGGAGTTGAACTTATACCCTACAGGACTATGTGGTGTCATAACCCAGAAGACTACAACTCAAATATGCAACAAAAGAGCAGCATACAGAAGGCAATAATAGCACTGACTGATAAAGTAAGAAAAATACATGATTACTCACCCACATCACTATATTCATGCCGGAACATTTGTTTGTTTTGAACAATACATCTGATAGCCTCAGGAGATTATGTACATATGAGAACACAGCAGCAGGCAACATCAAACAAAACATCTGGAACACATACACCAAGACTAGTACACAATAACGTAAACTCATACTGAAAGAAGGCATTAAAAGAAACAAACAATCAAGATAATCAGTACTTATTACACAGCATTATTAGGATATAAGATCAAGGTTACAGTAAGCCAGACTTTAGCTTGGATCAGGAAGACAAGAAATGCATACTGAATTTTCGTGGGCAACCACTTTAAAGACTAGGATGGAAATGGGGGGTGGGGGGGGTTGTGAAGAGAACTGGCTAAGAATCATGTCCAATGAATTGTTTATTGTGTTATAAAATTAAAAGAATTTCTGTCTTTTTTCATTTTACAAATTCAATTCTGCATGTAAATTGTGTGTAAGATAGAAGAAATGTCTCAAAAATAAATGTAACCACACATCAGCATCACTCATGTGTAGGGTAAAGAAAAATAATATACAAGAAGCAAACAATAAATTCCAGGACCTAATTTTATTTTCTACCTTATAAACACATTAAAAGAGTACTCAAACCTACACACAATCACCCCCCCCCCAAAAAAAAATACAGACAAAAATGTAAATTAAGCTTAATGCTCCAGTAGCTTTATTCCTGGAGAAGACCATCTGGTACCAATTGGATTTGAGTCTATGCTGGCACCAGAGCAAGTGTAATCATGGCAGCGAGAAGAAAAATTCCTGAATCTGCTAGGAATTTAACATTCAGCCATCTGCTGATTATTAATCTAAGCCAATTTACTGTTTTAAGCACATATAAATAACAACTACACAACAAGCAACTAAGTCTGTAACTTAGTGATTAATCCACTCTTTAATTTAAACAGTTCACATAAACAGGCTTATGTTTGTCTATTAAAGATAATAAATACAGTTTTAAAAAATGCAATGTAAAGCAGGAGGGAGCATAATAAAGATGTAAAATATGTAGATCTGAAGGAAATGTACACACAAATAATAAGTATTCCCTGCAGACTTATCTCTACATTCTATCAGCTTACGCTAAGAAAATTACAAAGTGTTTATTTGGCACATGCCACAAAATAAGTGCTTTTAATATTATTACCATATCTGCTGCAATCCAATGACTACTCAAAATTTTGAAAAATTAAATTTAAGAACAAATTTATCACAAATCAGTTGCACAGAATTTACTGAGCAGTTTCTTATACATACTGATGTATTATCAGTAGTTGCATTTAGAAAAATTTGTAGCAGAATTAAACATGCATAAATATGTGAGATTCAAGGTTCTTACAGCACTGAATCTGGTAACACCAGACTACACAGCACACAGAAAACAGCCTTCTTCATGCATAATTATAATATGGTGGCAAATTTTTGAGGAGTATCTTAAAAGAAAAAGTTACAAATCATATAGATGGTGGTCTTCTTGGTTGTTTTACCATGCAGTATTTTGTCTGTGTGCCAATGTTTTGGAAAAACATAGTGCCTCCATCATCAGGGCTCAAGATGATGGTTATATAGGGTTACGAGAAGGATAATGCCAGAGGAGATAAAAAAGCAGCCCTTTTAAGGAACTGAAAGGAAGGGCCAATTTTTCTCTTTCTCTCTTCTGACCCAACCTTCTTCTCTGGTGCCCCAAAAATGGCTCTTTCCTATTAACCTGCAAATGGCTCTATGTCCTCTCCCCTTCCCATTGCTCTGATTGGATATCATCAATCTAATCTGTTTCCTAATCAGGTATCAAGCATATAATTTCTAACACACCTCAAATCACAATTCAAGATAGAGGCAGGATGTTCTCTGAAGCAGTGGCTACATGATGCAACAACTGAACAGAATATCATCTACACTGACAGTGCTCTGAAAAACTTGAATCCTACATAGCAAATCTTTTGCTATTGTTTGCGCATCACAATATTGAAAGTCAACATAAAACTGTGGTAAACACCTGTTTCAGCTCTCACCTCTGTCTATGAAGAAGCACATGTCAGATATTCGTTCTGCTGCATCACTATCAGCTTATATTACCAAATGCTCACTCCTGCCTTCCCTATTCACATCAGTTTCTATGAAATGACAAGTAACATGCTAACTAGGAAAAATATTTACAAATACAGGAATTTCTTGTCTGTAAGAGTTATATGCACCACCCATGAAAGCTTCTAGTGCTGCCAATGTCAGCAGTAATTCTGATATGGAACCAGAATAACAAGTTAACAAACATACACAATAACCGATTATAATTATGATGATGAAAATGGTGATCGTATGTTTGTGTCCAAACATATAGGGTACTTGTAGAAGGGACTTTACTAATAAACAACACTAAAGGATATTGTTTTAAAGTTATATTAACCATATAACATCTGGAGAACTTGGTACCCCTGTCCAAACTGCAATGAGAAGTTTGTCCAAAGACACTTCACTAGGCATCCAGCCCAAGGTCTTCTAGAAGTCTGTCGATCATCTGCAACTTCTCACTTGCCTCCTGCAGCTTGCTGACTGCCTTAACATCTGACCTGATATGGTAACGGATGTCATCTATAACAGGAATGCTGTCTGTTTCTTGTCTTCCTTTCACTTCTGTAGCATCTTGTATTATCAGGTCATGTAATCCCTCATCATGCACTACCTGCACAACGAAATGCCATCATAACTAACAAAAGACTGCATATTTCATTGCGGTATTAAGGAACTCAAAATTTTTTCATCTTCTGAGTAACTATGAACAAAAATTAGAAAAGTTTGGTTACATATGCTATTGGAGACTGTCAACAGCTGCTGTGTTTTATAAAACTTGTAGTTTCTAACACAATAAATTCCTGAAGTATGTGTTATTATTTCATTCTGAAGCAGTTCCCAACCTGTCTTGTTTTTCAAAACATTATGACCTCAACTAAAATAGCAGAGAACCAATACCAAACTTCAACAAAAGTTGTTCAGGACCTTCAGAGATTAAACATGCAGGTGGACCAAAATAGTTCCATGCTATATATTCATTTGTGTGTGTGCGTGTGTGGGGGGGGGGCAAATAAAAATGTTTGCCATGAAAACTTCTGGCATGGGAATAACATTAACAGCAGCAGTACCAAAATGTTCTCTGTTAAAAACATGTCCTTTCAAATAAGATATGTTTCTTGAAAATTACACATAAAAGATTTTCATCTGCAGATAACATAAAATGGACACTAGGTGCCCATAAACTAGACGATGATCTGAAAAACTTGACAATAAACTTATGTATGAACTTCCATGACCACATATGAAGAACTTTAATGTTGTGTGACTCTTTTGTAGCACATAAGTGTTTTGTATGTGTTATAAAAAACATACCCTTCAAATCATTTGCTAATTTATGGATACCTACATTACAATAGCAACATTTATACAGTAATTAACGTGAACATGTGATATTTATGGACGATACAGGATTCCATTTAAAGCTTATGAAAGTATATGAAGAAAGGCAAGTAGGGAGACCAAATGACCATACCTTATCAATGTGCAGACTAATGAACCGGGTGCACTGATCCTCAAGCTGTGGCAGCTGGAACAGCCGTGCAGTCTTCAGTCTGTTCACTACATTCTCTGTACTTAGACAGCTTCCAAGCACAACTCCACAGCCTCGTTTGAGACCAGGCAATAAGTACATGTCTGCTGCACATAGCACATCCAGGATGTATTCTTCCCGAGCCTGCAAAATGGACTAACTCTGTCAAATATGAGTTTCTCATGGCAGTGAGTATTTTACAATGCCATTCTTCTGAGCTGCAACACTGTGTACACTCATAGGCAGATATTCATGTTTCTCCAAAATGCTAATATCCACCAGCAAGTCCACGCGGTGTCACAATTCAGAACATTAAAATCATAGACCGAGTGGCTCACTGTATGCTACAGGGCTGTCTCCGTTATGAAACCTAAGGGTTAATTTCTGCAGTCACAGAACATCATCATCATTACTGATCCAACCTTGAGTCACTTGTGATGCAAAGTCTTCTAAGAACTGTCTAAACATCACCCTTTCATCTATACTCACATCTCACAAGCATTTTCTTCATTTGTATAAGACAACCTAAAACTTTAGCGGCCATTTATATGGTGAACAGGCTTGTCAAGTTTTCAATGATGAGAAAAGTTTAAAGGCAGCAATCATATGGACATATGGAACCTCAGAGGAAATATGTAGTCACTACAATGTTATAATGAATTCTTATCAGGCTACCAGCCATGTCAAGTGGTTGAAAGCTGAAGACACCAACATTTTGAGAACCATCTTTGTCCTCGTCCTCAATATGGATAGCTGATAGCCTGAGAAGAATTCATTGTACTTAGTTGCCATAAAAGCTTAAGATTGTATATCAATACAATGGTGCTTATTTCATTAAAGATTAAGCAAAGTAACAAACACGCATAGACTAGTCAAGTGACTGATTCTGTGGGGGGGAAGGCTGCAGTATTATTCCAGTTCTATTCCATTCCAGCATCAGTAAGTCCAACGTGATCTCAGTTTAGTACTGCATTCTTGTGAAAGCAGCCACTGCCTTGACAAAGTCCATGAGTCTACTTAAATTTCTTTTCAATGAAAGAGAATACTCCTGAGCTAAGTCACGTACCTGCACAGCATTGGTGTAAATATAGTATACAACAGAAGCAAATGCTTCTACTGGAACATTTCTAATAGTAACCATTGGGTTTCCATCATCAGCCGTTGTCTCACTGAAGTGGTCCCGCAGTAGAGCATTGAAATATTCACTCCTTCCACAAAAGAAAGCCTGTGAGAAAAAAACAGAAAACAATACCATTTACCTTGTCTACGTTGGTCTTCTGGGTGTAACTCCATGTGGACTTGTATGTAGACACCAACATTGTCAACAAACATACTGTCTCCATCTTCATTCCTGACGATGTAAGTAGAATAATCCTCCAAAATGATGAAATCTACCTACAAGTCTACATGGCATTACAACCCAGAATAATAATGTCACTTTTATTGCCACGAAAACCTCAAATTTCACACACAAAAATATTTTTGACTCTGAACAGTAGTTACAGTGTGATTAACTTTGCAACAGCAGATTTATATCTGCAATAAATAAACAATAATACCAATAATGTACATCTTTCAACCCCTGTTTAGCTATTATGTAAGAACCATGACTTACACAAAAACAATTTTGCCTGCATCAACTTGAATGGTGCTTTCAGTTACCTTGTGGCAGTAGAACTTGCAGCCACATACACAGAAGCAGATGTCTACTAGGAACAGAGGCACAATGGGCATGAGTGGAAGGTCAACACCTGTGACCCATGTGCGCAGTTCCTGTGGCAGAGCCTGCACACCAAGCACACCCAGGTCCTGCTGCAGTTTAGCAGCAAGTTCTGCAGACTCTAGTGTCAACGTCTTCACACTTGTACCAGGTTTCGTGCACTCTGTTTGAACCAATACAGAAATCTGTTTGGTTCGCAGGTAATTTAACGATGCTGCATAAACTACAGAAGAATTTTAGTGCCAACTGACAGAAAAGGACCAAACTCTACACTACACAAGTGTAGAAAATTCAATGTTTTGTAATCTGTTTCCTTCTGCATCACCTACCCTGATGACTGAGACAGAGACAGTCTCTAAATTTACTGGATTGTAACTCCATACTTGCATGGATGATTGCTGAAAGACTTCATTTCATTCAATCACCATGAAAGCTTCAAATCTTATCACAAAGAGGTAATCACCACAGTACAGCATTAGGAGTAATTATAAATATGGATACATAATAACTGTAACACAATCTCTTCATGGCATCTGTATTCTCACAGTGTAGCTACAAGTGTCTTCTGGTGCAACACTATCACAAGACTGATACTGATTACATCCAACAGTGGTCAAATAGTTAGGTGATCAGGCAAACTGAGACCGTGCCACATCCATAATGACGAAGTACTGGCAATACTGGTAGATCATGGTTTACTACACAGTGACATTTTAATGCCCTGTTTTTGCAGTAACATCTGTTGTTCAAACAGAAATGTTATTAACACGAAACATCAATCAATATAACACAGTTATCACCTGCTTACAAATGAACAGTATCTTACCAAATGAATTAACCTTCTTCACCATATCCTCCAGCTCCGCCTTCAGGAGAGACAGCCGACACTGTACAGCCAAACGTATGCAGTCATCCACGCCATCTATGTGTGTTTCTAGTCTTGCAGTGTATATATACTGCATTAGCGACTTGAATGCACTGGGATGCACCTGTTACCAAATATTACATTAAACATACATATCTGAACTTAGTTTTATTAAGAATATCAAATCAAGAAAGATAAGGTGGGTGGGGCACATAGCATGCATGGGGGATTTTGCAAATGCAGCTGTTTGCAAGAAAAATGTGCATCCCTGACTTCAAGCGTCAAGAAACAGCATCTTCCAGCCATGTCTCACCAGATTGTTCTCTATGTTGATGATGCGTCTGTCCTGCCATCTTGTTTGAAATTTGTCACAGAAATAAATACATCTTGCTGCTAACACACACCTGTGAACGTGGAATGTGCTGCCGTTCACCACAAATGTCACATCACTAAGCTCTCCAGTCTCCAAAAGTCTGAAATTGTTCATTCATTCTTTAGTAATTTAGCAATGATCTATCATCTTACTGAATGTCACAGCAGAGTGACTAAAACCTTTACTTCATGTCAGAGAAGTTGTAAGTTCAAATCTTGACCCAGAGACCAGTTGACATTGCTGAGGCTTTCCATTAATTATCCCAACATTTGACACTGTGCCTGAGCTATAAAGTGTGTTTAAATCACAAAGAAACAAATAAATTTATCTTCTTCATCAACTGAACAGCATGAAATTTCACAGAGAACTTGAATGATAAACTGAGAGTGATTTTTAAAATATAAATGGTTATTTAATTATGGTGTATCACCTGCAGTTACTCTGCAGCATCAAATAAAATTCTTGGAGGAATATTAAATTGGACATTACCATACAATGATTTTTCTATACATGTACCAAACAAACTCATTATGCAGATACAGTCTCCCACTTTCTTTTTCTTCCATCTTTTCTTTACTACTGCAAGCTCTGCTTTGTCAGTATTCTGTATGCCTGTGCACATGAAACTACTAGAATAATTTGCCAATCAAGTGTGTCTTTTCTGGAAATCTTACTGAAAGGAAACACTGTAGAATAAAGACCAATGTTTTCTGAAAGTTGAAGAAAATAATTTCCAAATACAGTAACATTTAATTATTATTTTTATAAGAAGATAACATGGCATGAATAAATGTGCCGATTTATGCCTAAATCATGTTTTGCAAAAATGTACCCTGCTTTGTAAATACAACATGGAAGGAACCCATAAAATAATCTTTACAATATTAAAAGTAAACTTTCTATGCACAGTACTAATATGAATTCAACCACATAAATGCAGTAAGGCTATTAATATACACTATTACAGCGAAGAAAAGTCTGTAATAAACCTCAGTAAGAATTAACACTACTACTATTTCTTCTACAACCTCTATCTTACCGTCTCAAAAATTCATCATACAAATCCCTTCGCATTGTACGGCTTGTGACAATCTTATAATTCAACAATACTTTTCTTATTTGATCTGTTAATGCTCCATACAAACACCGTTCACCATCAAATGTGTTGGCCTCACACCTTGCACCATTGGCCAAGAGATACTGTACAATATCAGTGTGGCCACACAGGCAAGCATAATACCTAAAAATTACATACCAATAGTAAATGTTAGTTATCAACATTATGTAACAACAAAATCTCATAAGCCTGCAGTTAAAATACTAACTGCATGTAACTAAATATGTCTCTAACCTACAGTAAAACTTACAGTGGTGTGCTATCCCATTTATCACGGACATTGACGTTTACTTCCTTATGTTCAACAAGATACCTAGAAAAATAAAGAACGACTTGACGCACATAACCTAAAAATTAGAGGCAAATTCCAGTGTCAACATAATATATCAACATTCTTAAACATTTGTTAAACATGATCTCTGATTCAAAACAATGTTTTGGTGAAATTTAAACGGGTATTTATCAAAATATCATCAAATCAAACAATACCAAAGAATTAAACGGAGAATAATACCCACTCTATTCTACTCAAGTCTCCTCTCTTACAACTTGAAAATAAGTCATTCAAGTCCATGGCAACACCAAACATAAAATAATTTTATTCAATATCCTACGTTCCTGCGTATCCCACGATTTGCGTCACAAAACCAAATCACACAGCTCAATTCGTTTCTACCGGGTTGCAGTTACTGCCAATTCATCTGTGGTGGAACACACACCATGGATATTACATGACTACCAAAGCCACATACTTTGCATGTTTTATGTGGTATCGTACACAATTTCTTATTGAAGTCGTTCACCACGGTTCCTACGCCCTTGAGCTCGGGGTGGGGCCTTACAACATGCACCTCAAAATAAACTATAATCCTTTTAACCTTTGTGGGATTTGAGATTTTAACGACGGTGGATCTGAAGATGTCTTCTGAGTTGTTTTGCCGTGTAGTCTGGCAGCCTCTAAAATTAAGGTAAACTTCTACCAGATTACACAGCGCAGGCCAGAAGTACGTAATCTCTTTCTGAACATGTTCGATTATAAGATCTTCTGCATGTGAACGCAGTGAAAACCCTCTGTGAAAACAGTAAAACCAACATTAACTTCTTAAAAGATAGGCGAGGACACACAAAACATAAGCCAATAAAATGGAAAGCAACTTCTGTATAATGTATATATATATATGGCATGGCGGTAACACAAATGATTATTTTAAACAGAACCTGGGTGTGAAAGGACTTTGTAATTTCATGAGTTCAGAATGGCTGAAATGAGAGGTAAGAAAATATTTTAGTTCTTTTGGTATTTGCATGAGAAATTAATGAGATTATCTTGATCACATATTGCTTTGAGAGCTCAATACCTTACTCACTTATATAATTTTGAATATATCCTCCTGGTCTGCTGTATTGCTGTTAGTAATGGATTTGGACACACCAAGAACTTAAGCAATGTCAAGCAGGAGAAGCTGCATTCCAAAAAAAATATTTTAACAGGAACGGTAATTTTTACAGAAATGCCAAATACACACAGCTACGAAGGTGCAGTGAAACAAATAACCTATATACAAAAATGTTAAGTTAATAACTTTCTGATTTTTGTTGTCTTATTTTACAGTAATACAACACACATCTATGCTTAAATATTATTTAAAACTTTCTTTTAAAGAACAGACATCTGTTATATTCTCAAATGATAAGCTACAAAGTTTGTCATGCTTTACATGCAGAAACCTTTCCTTTCAGCAATGTAATTCTGAGCCCATGCATTATTCTACTTAATCTGAAAATATTTTTTGAGGAGTAAGACACATAAATGGTCACAGTAATTACTGCAATTTATATTTATGTTAGAAACAAATATTGTATTTGTGTTATGACATTCTAAATCCTTCATTTGGGCCTGTGAAGGAACAATGGGATGTAAATGCATTCTATACTATTCTATACAGTACTGATTCTATATTATGAAAGTCAACTATTTTGAAAAAGGTTCTGATGGAAAAACTATAATTTATATATATAATTTCGAATTAATATTACCAGGCACTGCATTTATTTCTTAATAATCATCAGGATCTCTGATTAGAAGCTATATGCATTTGCACAGCTCCTCTTTCAAAATACACACATCAATCTGCATATTTTCATTTTCTAAGTTGATTTAATACTCAATCTGTGGCATAAAAAATTTCAGTCAAACATTTATTGGAGAAAGCATATCACTGACATTTGGTGCATAGAACCATAAATTGTTTTTTCATTGTACTGACACAACAGGCAAAATTAGTCCAATTTGTGTCCAATTTCATCAACCATTTATCACATTTCTTTCAAGTGAAAGGGGTATGCTTTGCACATGTGTTAAGGTGTAAGAATCCTGTGACCCTACTGATTTTATAGAATTCTCACTTCACAAATGATTCCAAAGATCCATTATGATTACAAATTTCAATTCTTCCATTTTGTCTCCCTGTACCACCTTCTCACTGTTATCAGTATGGATATAGCAGTTTGAGTAACTGAACAGTAACTGTCATCACAGTTTGTGTTTTCTTTCACCTACTGTAAGCCCTTTCAGCCTTGCAGCTGTCCCAAAGAAAAGGTATCATAATTCCTTTTCACCTTGTAAGCCAAATTTCAGGGGTATTTTTTTAAGAAGAGCTCAATTTTGTGTTCTCAAAATTTAATCTAATGTCAGTACAGAAAGCTAAAATTCATGTGGCAGTGTTATTTCAAGTACTCACTCTCACTTCATACATCACTATTCATGTTTAACTCCACACCTTAACATTCGTGTCATCCATCCTTTCTCTCAGTTTCAAGAAACAACATACATTCAATGACAGGAGATTTAATGCCATGCACAGTAATAACCAAGATGAAATCTTGTTGCAGAAGCATCATTCACATCATGTGAGAAGCTTTTCAAAGTGCTTATATTGGGGGATCAATCAGTTGGCAAGACATCCTACGTACAGCGTTATGTTGGGAACACTTTTGCAAAAGACTACAAAGAAACAGTGGGTGTGGATTTTGCAGTGAAGGTTCTAAAATTATTAGACGCAACTGTAGCATTACAGTTGTGGGACATTGCTGGTGAGGAATATGAAGAACAATGTGAAAAAAGATAAATATAAAGCTGGTTTGTTTTGTGTATTTCTTTCTCATATTATGCAGTCTTTTATTTAATTTCTTCCTTGAATATTACTTTTGTCATTTCTCATATGCAGATAAAGTTAACTTCATTACTAACTACAGCATGATTCAGAATAGTTCACTCACTACAGTGACAGGTTCAAGCTG